GCTCCACACACGTGTGGCAAGTGACGTGCAAGCGGCGTGTGGTGGTTCAGGCTCAGCCCTTGAAGACTCTGGCCTGGGGCGGAGCAGAGCAGAAGTGGACCCAGTGCTGGGAACCCCTCCTTTTGGACCTGGCCTTGCAAAGCTGTTAGGGAATCAGTCAGACGCCCACCAAACACGAGCTCCAGGGACCCCCAAAAGTTGCTGACCCTTTGTCTGATGACCCCAAAGAAGGCTGTCCCCTGTCCAGATCAGGGCCCCTAGAGACCACCCAGCCCCTCCTCCACCCACCCCAGAGCCAGTCCTCAGTGGACTCGGCCAGTGGGCCCCCTCCTGGACTGGGAGCGGGGGGGTTCCAGCTGCTCTCAGCCCTTTGCCTCTCCACGTGCCTGTGAAAAGGCCTTTATTATTATTATCCCTTGTTATATCAAGCCCGCTTGTAAGTACGTTGCCATCAACATTTCCAAAACATCTTCTTTCTCCCTGAGCTCTTGGTATCGGCTCTGCTTGTTTCCCTTCAGTCCCCCACCCTGGTGAATCCTTGATCAATTACGTTATTGGGACTATGAAAACACCTTTGACAGTGGTCTGCCAAAGTTCCAGAAAAGGACCCTTCACACAGGTCTGTCCCCGTGATCCTGGGCGCACGCGCGCGTCTCCAGGCTTTGGCAGAACGGTGTCAAGAGGCTCCCTCAGCCCCGCAGCTGGTCTTCATGCTGCCATCGGCCAGCCCCTCCCTTTCTCCCGTGGCCCACCAGAAGCCTCCAGGGGCCGAGAAGGCCAGAGAGGCTGAGAAAGGGGAAGTGGGCTGCCGCAGACCCCCGTCGGTGGGACTCAAAGGCCAGGTCGTTTCCCACTGCACCACTTCCGCGTATGGCCCGGGTGACTTGCCTTCGTCACTGTCACAGGGAGGCTGCTGGGCTCTGCTCACCAAGGGGGGAGGGGGTGGGAACCACCACCAGACATGTGGGTCAGAGCATTGGGGCTTGGCCGTACCTGGAGGCAGGCTCCCTTAGGTGGGTCCCCAGGCTGCTTGCACCAGGTGGTCCCAGGGACAAATGACCTGGGCCTCTCTGCGAGTGGCAGGTGCCTCAACTGTGCAGCCCCACCCCCCAACTTTGCTCATGACCCCTAGGCAGGTAGCTCCAGGAGCCTCAGCAACCAGGACCATGGATAGCTGTGGCCATGGGGGGCTGCCCACCTTCAAGTGTGGGCTTGGCTGGTTCTAAGAAGGCTTTTAAAAAAATCATTTTATTGGGGGCTCGTACAACTTTTATCACAATCCATCCATCCATTGTGTCAAGCACATTTGTACATGTGTTGCCATC